AAAATATGTTCTTTTGAACTTTCTATTCATCAAAGAATCCTGAAAAAAAATTAACCACGGTCCCCACAAAAAAAACTGTTTTCTGTTATGTTTTCAGCTTTGCCATCACAAGAATAAATTACATTTTAAAATATATAAAAAATTCAGTTTGCCACCTTGCTGTGCATAAAAGTCTTACCAATCCATGACTTTTTAATGGTAGTGTATAGTTTATTAATTGAATTAAAAACATAATGTACCTCTAGTCTGCTGCAGATATTACTTGACACACATTTAAATGAAAAAATGAACACAATATTTGTACATTCATATCTTGTGTTTGTATATTATTTGTCATGGTTCCAGCTCCCGCCGCCAGTACCAAAGAAGACATTGCATAAGAGTGTGACACGGGAAAAATCTTTGGATCTCCCTGACCGTCAAAGACAGGAGGCACGACGGCGCCTCATGGCGGCCAAACGCGCAGCTTCATTCCGCCAAAACTCAGCATCAGAGCGGGCCGACAGCATCGAGATCTATATACCAGAGGCCCAAACGCGGCTCTGAGAGTCACAGGGAACACCTTTATCACACCATCACCATCATCACTCTCAGTGACAGAGCCAGATCGAAATACCACGATACATTCATCAAACAAATCATCAGAAACAAAAGAGTTTCATACCTGTCAAAAGGGTTTTGTACCTTTCAGAACTGCCTGCAACATCCATATGAAGTTTTCCCTGTTTAGGGAGACATACTTCACCAAAATTGCACAACATATCGCAATTGTAGACCCACGTGACAGTGACGTTGCCTGACGAAGCAAAACTTTACATATAAGCTTTAATCACAGTCAATCTGATGATCTGATGGTCTTTATGACATCCATTTAGCACTTTCAAAATTGAAAAATTGACATTTTTGAGGCCTCAAATTGAAACAATTCATTTGTTTTCATTAAATTAAGAAACCTGAAGAGAAGTCTTTAGTTCCAGTTCCATCTGGTTCCATTCGTTCAAGTTCTGTAGCTTTGTATTTCCGTTCTTACAATTCATTTATCTCTCTCTTTGTCTTTGTATTTGTGTTTTTCTTTCTTTCCGTCTCTCTCCACAGTGACGTTCTTCATATTTCTCTCATGAACTCTCTTGTGAGCATTTATGTAAGTGCCAGTGCTGAAATACCTCAATCATACATTTTAGACTGAAGCCGTTGGCCAGAGCTGACAGTCGCAGCCTTTTTAAAAACGTTGTTGGTCGGGAAAATTTAAATCTCAACCTGAGGGTTTACATTGCCAAGATCAGTTTTTATCATTCACTTACTTACTGATATCAAATATACAGCTGTCACATTACTTCATACTTGATGTTTATGTTATTTTAGAGGAATTACTGAAGGTTTTTGGGTGCAGTTGCTTAAAACCTAAATTCAACAATGTAAAGGTTCAAAAATGCATTTTTGCACTTTCTTCTTCTAAATGTATGTTTGTATGTATTTCCAAGGGAAATGAAGTTCTAAAAGATATTGTTGCAGTTGAATTGCAAGGTTTTGTGTGACTATCGATTTATCATTTCATGTCTCTGAATGTTTCATTCCTTCAGCCTCACCTAGTCATTCATCAGTTTTATTTATTTTTATTGAACCATTTTCCACTCCACCTGCTGTTATCTGGCCCATGTTCTCCGCCAAAAAAGAAAAAGAAAAACGGCTTTTTATGTCTTTTCTGTGTGTCTTGACAAAGAGAATCAATGATTCTCTCTCGACTGAAGGAGACTTTGGGTGTTCCCATTATTATCTAGATGACTTGGCGGTTGGTGATAGATGTAAGACTGCATGCAGTCCACATACCACACATCTGTGAGAACCGAAAGTGCAGAATGATTTAACTGTACAATCAAACTCTGTTCTTGAGTCTATTTGATGGCATTTGTCCAAACAGGCGACTGCAGTACACAGGATGGTTGATTATATTAGATTATCAAAACCAGAAAAGTCAATGTTGTTTTGGATTGTTATACAATCATTGAATTTGTTTTAAAATGCAGGCTTCATTAAGAATATATCACTAAAGGGACCCACTTTCTGTTCCAGAGAGAGATTTCAGCTTAAACATGCAGCAGTCCAGCTCTAACACTTCAGATAAAAGAGTTTGATGTATTGTTAATATGAAGCGTAAATGCATGACCACTTATGGTTGTCTCTCAGTGACTCGCAGCCACTGAAGTGTCACTGCCGACAGCCTCAAAAACCTTCACAAAGACTTACTTTATACCATGTTATTTAAAAATGCCATATTTTATCCACTATATATATCATTACAGACATCCTCTATCTATCATACAAGGTCACATTTCATTTCAAAAGTAACTATTTCCCCACGTTCTGTTGAGACTGCCCTGTTTTTGCCTCTGCATCATAGAAGGAGAGGGGGCCAGAGATTAGAGGAGATTAGTTTTATCACTTCCACTCGACTTCCTTGTAGCTTTATATTCTCAATTTCCTTCGCGAGATGACCTTGAGAAGAGCTTGTCGTTAGAAGCAAATATTTTCTTTTAATTTCCCTGTGCTCTGTATTTTTTTTGTTTTTTTTCCGCTTAAGTCATTGTTCAAACACAATTACAGCATTTCATCTACGAGAGGCTTGTAATCGATGAAACTGGCTTCAAGCTAGAGGGAATTTTGGGAGTATTTTTTCAAAACACAGCATTTCTGCTGTAAATTGAGCCTAAAGTCACAAAACAGTGTTTTAGCTCTCATTTCACACCAACGGAAGTTTTGATGGATTATTTTGTTAGTAATTATTTGGAACAAGTTCTGGGCAATTTATAGCTTTGTAGTGCGAGTCGTGGGCTTCAGGCTTTACAGAAATCCACAGGTCATTACTGACACTCTCCTGGCCTTACTAACTATTCAGACTGTTGAAAAATACACACTAAATGCACACTTGATGGGTAACATTTTACAATAAGGTCTCATTTGTTAACATTAGTTAATGCATTGATTAACCTGAACTAACAATGAGCAATATATTTTTTGCAGAATTCATCTTTGTTAATGTTAATAAAAAATGTAGTCGTTCATTGTTTGTTCATGTTAACTATTGAAACGTTTTTGTAAGTGTTACCAGCTGATTATGTGAAATTCATTTTTTATTATGGCGAATTGAATTATTGATAATGAACTAATTATTTTAATCATGTTTTGTTTATAAGTTTTTCCCCCCTACATGGCAAGGACATGTGTTTGTGATTATGCGGTCCTGCAGTGTGGCAGCTGTTCTTTCTGATTAACCTGCTCAATTATCAATATGCAAACATGCCAGTAATGCAGGCAGTGTTTATGTGCCAAATACGTTTATGTGCCACATGTTTGAACAGCTTCTGCTGTTCACAGACCTTCATGCACTTCGTCTTCCCAATGCTTCATCATATCATTTCAACATGACAGTCTGAAAGTGTTTTGGTGAGCTGACATCTAAACAAACATCTGGAAGAACAAATGCTCTTGCCAACTTTTAGAACAGTGGAATCAATTTTCAAATGTTGATTTGTTTGCGGATTGCCGTATTTTCATCAGCAGGGTTGCACTGAGTGGTCATCTTGTTTAGATATGCTTTCATGAACACCATGTGCATTTACTCTATTCATATGTAAATTTATTTCCATCAAAATAAGTCATTAGTCAGTATTTAACAAAAAGAAATGATTCATTGAAAATGGTTAACCCTCCGGACCACAGTATTTGAAACCAGCCAGCGGGCCTTTGGTACCGGTGCGGACTGAGATGCCCCTGTTTCGGTTTCTTACTCTAGAGAAGCTTCATCTTGGGACTGGATTAATCCTGGATCTCAGAATGTGAAAAGATTATAAAATCTTAGTGAATTTAACAAATGAAAAAGGTAGTTGTTTAGCTGAGAATATTTTCATTTAATATACTGTATATCATATCTATATGAAGGGTGAATATAATACCAAATATTCATTATTTGTACAGAATTATATAAATATAAATAGTTATATATAAATATATATAATATAAATACATAATTGATCCTTTGTTGAAGCAAAACTCTTTTTCTGCTCATCCTTATTGGTTGAGTTGTTTTTTTTTTTGTTTGGGGTTTTTTTTTTTTTGGGTGGCATGCAGCATTCTGATGCTGAATGTGGGTTTTCCTGCTTCATTGCCTTTCCAAATCACTTTTTTGAATGTTGTTTATTGTTAAACTTATCAGTTTGGTTTATTTTTATGTATTCATGAAATGTTTAAATTGTGTTATAAATTTGTATTACAAATTTGACTTTGTTTTTTGGTCATCTGGATTATTTGTGTTTCTTTTCATGACTCGATTATTGCTATGATCATATATTGTAAATAATTCAGTCATAAAATTTTTGAAGGAAATTAGTTATTTGGATTATCTTGAATTTACTTTGCACAACATTAACAACACAACGATTTTTACTTTTCCCCAACAGTTGTCTCGCATTTGTTTCACTAGTCCAGCACCAGTTTTGTGACAAAACATCAAAATTGTGGCTAACTGTGCTTATTTAAACCCTGATCTGAGGACATTTTGGTAATCTGCCTAAACATTAACTAAAGTTCAAAAGTTCATCAAAACAGATTTTAATTTTGCAATACAGCTCTACAAAACGTCCACCATATTGGTTTTCAGATACATTTATAAAAAATATTGAATTCTAAATTTGAATGTATTGAATTTGTTTCATTTAAATAAAAAATTATTTAAATGCAAAGTCTATTTATAATGAAATCAAAATGAAACGTTTCTGTAAGTACAACTGGAACATTGATTCTTAATTCAATGTTTCTGGGTAAAAAAATATATATATATATATGTGTGTATGGGTAGCCTAAAATCATACTTGAAAATAAAATATATAAAAAAATTACATTTGCTGCTAACCCTTCAAAATTCTACATCCTTTTTGCCAGCAGGGGGCAACAGAGTAGCGTTTATAAATTAGCCTGATCATGTGATTGGATGAGGTCACGTGACGTCTCCCGGTCTCTGAAGGGTTAGTTGTAACTGTGCGGTGTGCAGTTGTTCGCACCCGCTGAAGGAATGTGAGCTATGTTATTGTCGAGCTCACATCAAAAGACATAATTAATAGTTGAGGTCTTTAATACGCAGAAAAGAATTAGGAATGTGCTTCGTGGGCGTTATTTCGTCTACAAGAGGTAAGAACAATGACAACAAACTAAGAAAACAAACAGAAACTTGTAACAGGTAGAAATTATATTTATAGTACTAGTAAATGAGAAGTAAGAAGCATACATCTGAGTATATAAATGATATGATTTAGATTACATGTTGTTTAAGGTCAGAATTTTGTTTTAATACTGTAATAAAGGGCAGAGTATTTTCTCAGTGATTAATGCAGACAAATGGGCCAGAGGATGTGTCTGTATAATATAATGAGTGTCTCTCTTGTTCTAGACTGGTAATTGGTTTCATGGGAACTGACTGTGTGGCGCATTACCAAAGGACACTGCAGTCTTGACATTCGTTCGGAGATCTGAGCAATGTCCTCCCAGCCAGATAATTTAATACTGTCCTCGGGTCACAACTTCAGCATGGACTACTCCTCCCAGGACTTTCACCTGAAAATCATCAGCCTGGGCTTCATCTTCTACACCTTTATCTTCCTCCTCTCTCACATCATATCTAGCCTGCTGTTTCACACCTACCGCTCACTGTCAGCCAAAGAAAAGGTGGCCATTAATATGGTTTTTTAAATGATTGTTTGGTTGTTTTTAAATTGAAAAAAAAAAATGTGTTCATCCAAAAATGAAAATTTGCTGAAAATTCAATCAACCTTTGGCCATCCAAGATGTAGATAATTGTGTTTATTCAACAGAGCAGTAATCCAGACGACTCTAGTCTGTCTATTAATGTCTTCAGAAGCAAAAAACTGCATGTTTGTATAAAAAAAAAAAAAAAAAAAAAAAAAAAAAAAAAAAAAAAAAAAAAAAAAAAAAAAAAAAAAAAAAAAAAAAAAAAAAAAAAAAAAAAAAAAAAAAAAAAAAAAAAAAAAAACACTAATCCGTCATTCAGGTGTTTCAACTATAAATGTCCATAATCCTTATAATGCTTCATCCAGTGAAAAAGTCTATCCCCTGTTGTCATTTCTCATCCGAATCCACTGACATATTTATTTAGAACTCTTTTGGACAGTTTTCATTTGTAAATGGTGTTTGATCTGTTTATTTCTCTCCTAAATCAGACGAGATGGCTTTTTCACTGGAGAAAGCAATGGCTTGAAGTTAAAAATGTCTTGAAGAATTTATTATAAACACATTCATTGATGAACTGGAGTTGCGTTGATAATTTTCCTAACATTACTATCTTTATCTTTCCTTCAAGGTCTTCTGGGATTTGGCTGCGACACGGGCTGTGTTTGGCATCCAGAGCACAGTGGCAGGGCTTCGGGCGCTCATGGAGGACTCTGCCGTCTACTCTGATAAGATTCTCGGGCAGGAGGACTGGTCCTGGTTCAATGTGCTGACCGCTACGGGATTCTTCCTGTTTGAAAATGTGGCCCTTCATGCGTCCAATGTGGCATTCCGGTCCTTTGACCTGCCGTTAGCTGTGCATCACTTCTTCGCCCTCGCGGGGTTCGCCGGGGCAGTTGTGTGGAACTGGCTGGGTCATTTCCTCCCTATGGTGACTTTGCTGCTAGAGATGAGCACACCCTTCACCTGCATCTCCTGGATGCTGCTTAAGGTGAGACGCAAAGGTCAAAGGAAAACTTTTTACTTGACAACTCAGTTTGTTAGTATGATTTAGTGCAGTTTGTTAATAAATAATATACAGGAAAAAGCTTTGTAGTCAAAGCTGCAAATAAACGGTTTGTCTAGTGAGCTTCTGGAACGCCTTTGATTTCTCATCTGCCGGCCAGTTTCACTTTTATTTTGCCATGGCAAAAACATGTTTTCTTTCTCAGTTCAACAGTTTATCATGTTTTAAAGCTGAGAACTCTTTTATAGTTATGCTATATTTGTTCACTGTTCTTAGAAAGAGGAACTTTTTCACAAAGTTTCAACCTTTTTAAATTAAAGTTCAACTTCTTAAAAAGAAGTTCTCTAAACCTTGAGATTTTTATTCCATTGCCCTGCTTCTTGTTTTTAAATGCAAAAACCAAACACATTCTGTGGGAATAACCCCTTAAGAGACATTCACACAGAATGTGTTTCTGCATTCCACTGCACTGCTTTTCCATTTTTTTATGTAAATATAGCAGGCGTTAGCGATAAATTATCTGTCAGTTTTCTTTTTCAGGTCAACTCTTGTCATGATGGAGCAACGGTTTGAATTATTCTGTTTATTTGCTTTAGATTTCAGAGATCAGAGTTCAAAAATCTGTCAGTATACAGTTGAAATTGATATTCAGATTCCCTCTGTGTAGCTAATTGTGAATCAACTACATTTGAATGAATAAAACCCTGTTTTGAACTTGGTTTTAACTCTACTTCTTTTCTAAGGTGGGCTGGTCTAAGACACTGTTCTGGAAAGCTAACCAATGGATGATGATCCACATGTTCCACTGCCGGATGGTTCTGACCTACTACATGTGGTGGGTGAGTTGGAATCATTGGGAGGAGATGAACAATCACATCCCATTGGTTCAGAGACTGCTGTTCTTCACAGGCCTCTTCCTGCTCACCTTCTTCCTCAACCCCATTTGGACGCATAAGAAAACCCTGCAGCTTCTCAATCCCGTGGACTGGAACTTTGACAACAAACCTGCAGCAGAGAACGGACCAATCCGAGACCAGGCTCGACACAAGCCCCATGCCAGCTGATTAACACTAACATCAAGGTTTTATGGGAAATACAGTCTAGAGAAGATACAGTCTGCTATACAAAGTTGGGTTTTTAGTTGGGCTGCACGATAAATCGCATGCGATATTTAATGCGCATCTTGTCAGTAAAGCCGCTTCTGTAATCAGCGGTAAATCTCCATCACGTGCGGGCTTTCACATGGAGCAACATTTACTACACAGAGCCGTTGTTCACTGACAAGCTGCGCAAAAAATCGCGCGATTATGAACGTGGTGTTGCGCAGCTTGCCTGTGAACAACGGCTCGGTGTAGTAAATGTTGCTCCATGTGAAAGCATGATGGAGATTTACCGCTGATTACAGAAGCGGCTTTACTGACAAGATGCGCATTAAATATCGCATGCGATTTATCGTGCAGCCCTAGTTTTTAGTATTATTTGAAGGTTTAAGAGCTTTAAGTTTAGCACTGACTACTACTACTTGCTGTATTTAAAGGATTCGTTCACCCAAAAATGAAAATTGTATCGTCATTTACTCACCCTCATGTTGTTCTGAACTTGAATGACCAAAACAACATCTCATGACTTTCATTATATGGACCAAAAGATTATTTTAAAATACTTTTTTTTTTTATATATTATCTATTGTGATTTACTGAAGAATGAAAGTCATTCAGGTTTGGAATGACATGAGGGTGAGTAAATGATAGCAGAATTTTCATTTTAGGTGAACTATCTCTTCAAGTAGTTCTATCTATACAGTATACGAGTAGAAGTCTGATGCATGTCTCAGGAAGACTTCTTTGAGCCTGCAAAAATCATGAGATCCGTTTTATGCAACTTGCTTTCAACTTCCTGTCTGTGTTGAGTTGGGTGTCCTGAAAAGCCTTTTATGTGCGTTTGGGTGTTTCAGGAGTGGCTGTTTGAGTCTCATTTCTCTTTGCACATTGGCAGTCCGTGCAGCAAAGCATCTCTCAAGCTGGGAGATCCTTGTCTTTTTTTTTTTTATCTGATAGGCTCATATTTGTTATTCCCAGTGATTCTTCGTCTTGTGACAAAGAAAACCCTGACTGCTTTATGACCGAGCATGGTCTGTCAACTCAGCCACACTCTATTTCACTAAATGTCACTCAGTCTGCTTTGGAAACTTCAGCTCAAAGCCATCAGACCTTGTTTTTGTTTCATTTTACGAAGGATTTTTCTTTTACAGAGGTTGTGTATTGGAGTTCAATGGATGTAGATGGTTTTTTGTGAGTTTTTATGAATGTTTGACTAAACTCTTTGTGTTCTGCATAAATAGGGTTTGTTCTGACAGAGACTGACTAATCTCTGTAGAAAGGAATGTGTGTGTGTGTGTGTGTGTGTGTGTGCGCGCGCCAGGGAGCGATAAGGGATGGAATGGAAGTTGTTTTATTTTAAAATATTGCTTCATCTCGAGAACTAGATATCGAACTAGAGTTCCTCTGTGTTTGTGTGTGTTATACTAAATACTTGCTCTTTTTGTCATACTTTATAGATTCTTTAAAAGAAGTCAAAAAGCAAAACAGAAAATTCACATTGATGACATACAGCACGTTTAAGGCAAATATAACAAAACCTTAATGTACCAAATTAATCTGCACATTAATGAGCTAATGCTACTACAGGATATGAATGAAGGGGAAAAAAATGGTTCAATGCTTGACCTTCGTAACAGCTCAGGGTATTTTGAGGACGATACAAAGAGGATGTGCAGTATTATCTGATAGCAACAGGTGAAAAAAAGCAGTGTATAAATATTAAGGAATTTATTTATGACAGAACTTCTTTGTAATGTAATGGTGACAAAGGGGCAGTTTAACTGCTATCACCACCTGCTTAAATACCTCTGCTTTAGTTGCTCTTGTCTTTTTCAGTGTGGTTTTAAAAAAGAGCATTTCAGCTTTTTTCAGCCTGTTCTTTCACAATGTGAGAGTCAGAACTGTGGGTTTTTGTGAACTGTAGGATTGTGTCATACATTTATAGCATACTTCCTCTTTTTGTCATACTTTATAGATTCTTTAAAAGAAGTCAAAAAGCAAAACAGAAAATTCACATTGATGGCATACAGCACGTTTAAGGCAAATATAACAAAACCTTAATGTACCAAATTAATCTGCACATTAATGAGCTAATGCTACTACAGGATATGAATGAAGGGAAAAAAAATGGTTCAATGCTTGACCTTCGTAACAGCTCAGGGTATTTTGAGGACGATACAAAGAGGATGTGCAGTATTATCTGATAGCAACAGGTGAAAAAAAGCAGTGTATAAATATTAAGGAATTTATTTATGACAGAACTTCTTTGTAATGTAATGGTGACAAAGGGGCAGTTTAACTGCTATCACCACCTGCTTAAATACCTCTGCTTTAGTTGCTCTTGTCTTTTTCAGTGTGGTTTTAAAAAAGAGCATTTCAGCTTTTTTCAGCCTGTTCTTTCACAATGTGAGAGTCAGAACTGTGGGTTTTTGTGAACTGTAGGATTGTGTCATACATTTATAGCAGGCTAAATGATATTTAAACAGCTCACAGACACCATTCATTACTCTCAAATGAGAGGGAAGGAAATAAAACGAAATGTCACTAACCCTGAAACTATCTTTGTTTGTTTCTTGTTACATTTCGTGGTTAATTTAAAATGATTAGTTTAAAACTGTAACAAACTACTGCTTGTGTTTCCACAGTTGTCTTCAGTATGTTGACTGGAAATCCATTGTATATTTAAATATTAATTGATGTTATTGGGTGCACATTTCAATTGAAATTATTACTTGCAGGGAAATGCATATATTTAAATATAGGCTTAAAATTCAAGATTCAAAGCTTGAAAGCTACTGTGGATGCTCTTCTGTATTTAAGGGTTATTCCTATTAAAAAAGGAGAGCTAATAAAGGTTTTACCCCCGAAACGTGTTTGTTTTCTCTGGAAAAATGTTTTCTTGCATTTCTATGCAAAGTCATGCCCATTTTAACTGTTTAGTTTCCTGTGAGTTTACAGTTTAATGCAGAAAGTGCGACTTAATTGGACTCTTCAGGTTTAGGGATGTGAATATGAGTCGTGCAATTAATTATCAAATATACCAATACATTTTTTTTTTTTAAATGTATAGTAGCAGGACAAAATTTTTTTTTAAATATGGTTGCTTGTTAGGAAAACCTGACAAGCAACTACGTTACTTTTCATTTATGTTCACTGTATTCTCCAATGCATTGATTGACACTCTGTCTGCTCACAGTTAATAGCCAATAAGTGTAAAAATATAAGTGCTGTAGCGTAATTTAACAAATATTCAGCCCCCTCCGCACGCGTCTTCTTTTTGAACTTTTTTAAATGAGGGATTGAAGAAAAATCACGTTCAAAA